TGATGATTCTGGATCCAAAGCTTTCTCACCAAGCAAAACAACTTCAAGCTTCTCTTGTTTCCTTCCCAAGGGCAAAAATGAGCATCAAAGCCTCCCAATAGCTCAAGAACACCTCCAAGAGGCTACAAGGTCGATTTAGGGTTTTAGAGTGTGGAGGTTGACTTAGAAATGATGGAAAGGGCTAATATAAAGCTTTTATTGGGTACAATTGCGAAAATCAGGGTTTCTCATTAACCCTCGTACGCCCAGCGTACGAGGTCTTGCACCCCGACCCCATATCTGAAGTACGCTAAGCGTAAGCTCCATTACGCATGACATAACCCTCAACGCATCAGTACGACCGGCGTACCACTTGGTATGCCCCGCATACTAGGGTTTTCCATTAGACCCTAATTCATTCCGAAGGCCATAACTTTCTCGATACAACTCCGATTTCGACCATACTTATATCCTTGAAAAGGTATTGAGAAGCTCTACACTATTATCAACTCATACTTGCCGTGAGATATCCCGAACGAACATCCACTTTCCATAAAAGCCCGAGCTAAAAAATTACCGAAATGCCCTTTGACTCTAAAACACAAACCAAATACCTGAATCATCCAAATTACAATATCCAACCCCAACTGAGTCAAAATCTCAATTCCTCAAGGGTCCGATGCCTACTGATACCCAATCCCTGATCACCATCCCCAAAATAGGAAACGATTCGAAACAAGTCGTTACATATGGGAGTCCAACATCGATTTTTGTTCATCAAAGCTCAGTCAAAGGACCTAGTTTCAAGCATGGATTCATATCAACCACCAAGATAACATTTTGATGCTTCTAACATGCCAAAAGGACTCAGATCTAGCATTTCTAGCTTCTAGAGTTTCCCAAACTCACAAAAGAGAATTCATGGACCAAAAATGAGCTTATAAACAAACCTTAACTCTAACTATTAAATGGATCAACAAGGTACAAGCTTTTTACCTTCAAAAGGTTCCTAAGATGATGTAGATTCAGGATCTTGAAACTCAACCACGTCCAAGGCTTGCTCACCAACTTCTTTTTCTTGCAAACACACCAAAAAGGCCACTAAAGTCACTTTCAAGCTCAAAGATCACACTTAATGGCAATTAGGGTTTTAGGGATGTTTAAAGGTAGTGGAGGTTGATAAGAGTGAGGATGCAAAGGTTATAAGTGTGAGTAAATAGGGCTCATGCCCTAAAATTAGGGTTTTAGCATTTGGCTACATACGCCCCCGCGTACGCTTCGTATGCCCCACGTATGTGGCTCATAGCCCCGACTCCGCATGCCCATGTACGCTAAGCGTACATAGACGTATGCCCAACGTACAAATGGACCTCTTTCGCAATAAAATTATTCTTCTATGGACTAAAAGGAAAAATACTTGAATCTGAGTCTTACAATATTGGGCTATATCTAGTATTTTTGCATTGTGATTTTATCTGTGATTTTTTCTTCATGGATTTGCATCCGGATTTTAGTTTGAGTTGCATCTTCGATTTTTGATTTGGGTTTGCATTGCTGGTTCCATTTCGATTTTAGATTTCATTTTCATGTTTTAGTTTGGTTTTGGATTTGAGTTACAGGTTTTGTTTTAGATGTATACTAAAAATTATTGTTGAACTGTAGGTGACTTTGTAGCTTTATGTTTATTTTTGTGGTATTGGATCTGGGGTATTGAATCTATGAGCGTATATGATGTTGGAGATGGTGATCGGAGGTGGTGGCAAAAATTGTAAAGGGATTAAGGTGGGTTTGGTGATTTTTCCAACAACAGATTAATAACTTAATTTATTTAATAATGACTGGTATAATAAAAAATGAATTTACAAAATAACAATAGTTATTAAGGGGAAAATAGTATTTTTTTTTAGGTCAGATAGGAACAAATGCACAATAAAAAGATATAACAGGGACCGTCTGAATTAAGAAAAAAAAAATTAGGGACCAAGCGCAAATTACCCCAAACCATAAAGACCATTCATATAATTTAAGATAAACTTAAGATAAATTCAATGAAATAAGAAGTTCCAATTATGTTGCAGCTTTTCTAATTATGCAATTAACCTATATATGGTATTGAGTAAGCTGTCTATCTAATTACAGATCGTAAGATGAGTGATAGGGTGTATGTTTAAATCTATCCCAACAAAATCTACTGGAATGCTACCCATATGTTCTTCTTTCCAATTATTTTATATTTTATACATTATAAATTATTTTTAATATAGTTGGTTTACAAAAAGTTCAATTTACATCATTATGTTAGATATATTCATGATTTATTTGGTATACGCATATATGATAAGTTTGATATTAGTAATTATTAATTAATCATTGAATTAGTAATTGTCAATGATTCAAGGATATAGTTGATCCACAAGTATGTATATAATAAATAATGTTCTTTTATCTATATTTTAGGAAAAAAAATGTTTTATGTTGTCTATTACACATTTACCATCATTTAGTTTGTAGGGTTTTTTTTTTTTTTTTTTTTAAATTGTCGTTGTAGTAAAGAATGATATAGAAGTTTTAAAGAAAAAACCAATTTTCTTTATCTCACATTTTATTTAATTCCATAATCTAATAAAACATCAGTTATTAGTTACTTTGATTGAATTAAGAGTTTTAAAATTATAAATCAAAAAATTAAACCAAACATGACAAAATATAATTTGTTATAATTTATTTTGAGTTTTCGACTTAAGAGTCTATTTTCACTGGAAATGACTTTTTTATTTTAGTGTAAGTGTTCTTTTAGATCAACGTTGTTTAAAAAAATGATATAAAACCTTTTGATAAAAAAATAATTATTTATCTCATATTGTATTTAATTGCATAATATAATAAAAAAATCATTTATCAGTTACTACAAATTAAGTGTTTTAAAATTATAAGCGAAACATGGCAAAATATAATGCATTTTGAGTTTTAAGTTAAGGGTATATGTCCACTCGAGGTGACGTTTTGTATTTCAAACTTTTAAAGATAGAACTTATGGTTTGGGTTAATCTGCATGTTTGGTCTCTAGCTTTTTTTCTTAACTCAGACGGTACCTAATACATATTTTTGTTGCGCGCTTGGTCCGTGTCTGAGTCAAAAATACAATTGTGCCCTTAGTAATTTATTTATTTATCTATTATTTATTCATTTATCTTTTTATTCTATTTATAATTAAAAAAATATTAATAGACTAAAAAAATCCTTTGATATATAATCCCTAAAATCTACCGTATCTCCCTCCATTCTTCTTCTTCTTCTTCCACCATTTCCACCTGCATCCCTACATCGTCAGTCGCCTACCTCACCATCTTTTACACTTCTCTTTTTCCACCATCAACTTCTATAATTTCACCTCTCTTCATCCCTCATCAACCCTATTTTTGTTTTTATCTAATTAGAATAACAGAACCCTAAAAATAAAATCTCATGACCCCTTTTCTCATTGAGAAGCAACAAGTTCACCCACCCACTCACTCACCATCCTCTTTCAAGTGTATCACCCCTTCGTCTTCCCTATCGACACCTCCACCATCTCCCTCCATCAGAGCTTGTATCACTCATCCCCTTTCTTGTCCTACAACCCCGACAACGCAACCTACTTCAGGTCTGTTCTTCAGTATCGCCGCCGCATGTGAATGCCCACAATTGCAGGTGGTCTTGGATATACGAAAAATAGAGGATGCTAGTAGTGCTTTGAGGATCGATGTGAAGCAATGAGCACATCGAATGGTTGTTCTTCTAAAACCGACGAAAAGGAAGGATTAACTTGAATCTGGGTTTGTTTCTTTATTAACTGGTTTGCATATGGGGCTATATCTAGGATTTTTGCATTGTGATTTTATCTGTGATTTTTGCATCATGGATTTTGCTTTCGGATTTTGATTTGAGTTGCATCTTCGATTTTGGATTTAGGTTTGCATCGTAGGTTCCATTTCGGTTTTAGATTTCATTTTCAGGTTTTATTTTGGTTTTGGATTTGAGTTACAGGTTTGGTTTTAGATGTATACTAAAACTTATTGGTGAACGCTAGGTGACTTTGTAGCTTTATGTTAATTTTTGTGGTATTGGATCGGTGGTATTGAATCTATGGTCGTATATGATGTCGGAGATGGTGATCGGAGGTGGTGGCAGGAAATGTAAGAGGATTAAGGTGGGTTTGGTGATTTTTCCAACAATAGATTAATAATTTAATTTATTTAATAATGACTAGCTAATATAATAAAAAAAATTAACAAAATAAAAATAGTCATTAAGGGCAAAATAGTACTTTTATATTAGATAGAGACCAAACGCCCAATAAAAAGATATAATAGGAACCGTCCGAGTTAAAAGAAAAAGTTAAGAACAAAACGCAAATTACCCCAAACCATAAAGACCATCTTTCTAATTTACTCATAAATAAAAGGTAATCAACTTTTTTAAAAGAGAAAAAAAAATGGAAGAATGAAAAAAAAAAATCAATGTTTCTATATATTTAACAGCTAAGAGTCTCAAAAATATAAAATTATGTTTCTCAAATATTATCTTTGTACTATTATTACTTTTATTTATTTTTCAAATTTTTTTTTATTTTGAGGTAATTTATATAAAAGTGTTTTCTATTTTTTTTAGTGTTGTGCTATCTATATATAATTCACAAAAAAAGATGGTTAGATTATTTTGTTGGACTTTTAGATGGAACTTTAGTTTACACTAATAATATCTATTCTAAGGACAGACTACAATTAATTTTGCATATTTACAGCAAGTCTAGAAAAAATAATATATAATTTTATTTCTGTTTAACGCGCAGATATACATATAATTTTTTGTTTATAAAGAAATGTAAAGGAAAATTTACGTCGCAAACAAATCAGTGAAAAAGCTGAGCATTGTGATCTTTAAAAAAACATTTTTTATTTTCGTTGATTTGATTTAATGGCCCATCACCTTCAAACCTTTTCTATTCCTATATAAAGGAAGGGCACCCTTCCACTATTTTTCATAAGCTACTCTTTTCATAATTAACAAGAAAAGAGCTAGACAAGCCTAGTTTCTCTAAACACATTCAAGTCTTAGTTTGTTAAAGCAGAGATATATATACCTGTATTGATAATAAATTACTAATCAACCAAGGAGATGACGGGAAACTTGGCTCACCTTACTCTTGCTTTTGGCCTTCTTGGTATATAATCTCTCTCTCTCTCTCTCTCTCTCTCTCTCTCTCTCTCTCTCTCTCTCTCTCTCTCTCTCTCTCTCTCTCTCTCTCTCTCTCTCTCTCTCTCTCTCTCTCTCTCTCTCTCTCTCTCTCTCTCTCTATATATATATATATATATATATATATATATATATATATATATATATAGTTCCGGATCTTTTGTGAACCAATTCCCACGAACCACTCCTAAAATTCAAACTTTTTTTGTGGTAACTTTTTATTAAAAAAAAAACATAACACACCAAATCGTCTCTATATAAACAAATTTATAAAAAAAATCTAGAAAAAAATATGCATATACGACATGTGTATATGTGCACAAACGTCGGAAATTCAACAAGCTCGTAAAAAATGTACATATGCACATTTTTTTTGTGAATTTGTTTTGCCTTATTTTTTTGCAAATATACTTCTATAGAACCGAATTGATGCATTATGCCATTTTTTTTAACAAAAAATATCACACAAAAAAGTTCGTATTTTCATAATGGTTCGTGCAAAAATATGGGTTCACAAATATATATATATATATATATATATATATATATATATATATATATATATATATATATATATATATATATATATATATAATCTGGATAAAATAAGACGGAAAATTTTGATAGGAAAAATAATAAGTTTTTTATGTGCATATTTTTTAACGAACCTACAAAATAGGTCATTAGATAATATAATGTAACATGATTGACAAGAAACAATTCCAGAAAAAATACCCTATTTATTCATTTTAAATTCATTTTACGGACAATTTTAATAAATAACAACATAATCACTGATAAAATGAATAATCAAGACGTTTTTTCGGGTTTATTTTTGTGAATTATGTTATTTTCGACTCATATAATGATTCTTTCTGTTTTTTGACTTAAAATTTATTACCTTTCAGCCAAATATTTCTTTCATATATATATATATATATATATATATATATATATATATATATATATATATATATATATATATATATATATATATAAACACATGGGATCACATATCCCTTTTTTACAAGTCTCAATGCAGACTTACTTGATCCCCAAAAATATATACAATTAATTTTGAACTGATATTGCTAACCGTTTTCATTTCTTTAACATTTTTGTAGGAAATATTATTTCATTTTTGGTATTCCTTGCACCAATGTAAGTTCTTTTGACATCTTCTTGATCCGTAGTAAATTTGATTTTTTCTTAATTAATAACTTCGTATATGGCTATAATTTGAACAATTTCTCTGACAAAATACAGACCGACATTCTATAAGGTCTATAAGAAGAAATCAACTCAAGGGTTTCAGTCAGCACCTTATGTTGTCGGGTTATTTAGTGCCATGCTTTGGATATATTACGCTTTGCTCAAGACCAATGTCATGCTTCTCATCACCATTAACTCAGTTGGTTGCTTTATCGAGACATTGTACATATGTTTTTTTCTCTTTTATGCACCAAAGAAGGCTAGGGTATGTACTAATTAATCTTTTTCTTCGGTTAAAGTATACTTTCATATTTGTTGCCCTCATGAAGACTATATTTTTGTTATGCAGATGGAGAGTCTGAAGCTAATTGGGTTATTGATAGTCGTTGGATTTGGATTGATTCTCCTCCTAACTCAGCTCCTTGCAAGTGGAGGTACTCGTACTGTGATAGTTGGATGGATTTGCCTTGTATTTTCTTTGTGTGTTTTCGTTGCACCTATGGGAGTGGTGGTACGTACTAAATTTAAAGAAATAAATAACTTTTTTGATATTTATATTTTATGTACATGTTTCATAATTAATGAATACGTACTTTTAATTATTTCCATTTTACTTTCTGTAGCGACAAGTGATTAAAACAAAAAGCGTAGAGTACATGCCAATTCTACTCTCTTTTGCACTAACGATCAGTGCCGTCATGTGGTTCTTTTATGGCCTACTCCTTGCTGACTTCAACATTGCGGTACTACCAAATTATTTGTGTTTGGTTTTCGTCCAATAATTTTAGCTATTTCTTTTTTGTATTGATCTGTGTTGTTTTAACCTGTTTTTTAGATTCCAAATGTACTTGGATTCACCTTCGGTATTCTTCAAATGATACTATATTTTGTGTACAAAAACAAGAAGCCACTTACCAATGAAAAGATATTAACTTTGGAAGCAAAAATCAGTCAAAAGGAGGAACAAAAGATCCCAGAACATAAAGATCAGAAAACCGTCGATATTTTGAAGCTGGAAAATTTAATTAATTCTGATATTCTTCCGGTGGTTGCCAAATCAAACAAAATTGTAGCTGTTGAACCTCAGGCTCCTTTATATGTGCCACATCACACCATTGAAGTTGCCGCTTGATCACCATAGCTTTTAATTTTGACCACAGAAAGACCAAATGGGTAGACATGTTGTTGGATCTTAATTCCATGTTTCAGTGTATCTTCTTAATATAGTTTTTAACTAGTTGCAAACAGAGCTATCGTCTTTGCTTGATAAAAACTTTATCAGTCTCTTACCTAACATACGTTTCATTTTTATTCCCTGTAACAATTGTCGATATAAACGAGTTTGGGCTATGATAAAGTTGCAGATGCTTCTGCCTAGCTAATTAGTGGCAACTACTTCTTTTAAACATTAAATTGGACTCTTTCACAATTTTATATACGCTCCGACAAGCAAAATTGTAACACATTTCCTTTTGTACTCTCCTGAAAGAACGTATACCTATAAATTATGTTTTTTACTTTTTATTTAAATTTCATTATTTTCTATAGTTAACATATATAGTGCTATTTTTGTTACGTAGTTACTTACGCAATATTTATCTCTTCCATTTTCTAAATTAGAATATATTGATATTTTATAAAAAGGTATTAAGTAATAAAAATGAGATAAATAAAAGAGAAAAGCAAACATATAATAATAAATATAAACATTTTTTTTCCAAAACTTGTGCAATATCTAGCAAATAGAGAAAGTAGATTAAAAATGATATATAATGATTCAAGCCTTGAAATTAAAAAGCATTCACAGTATTTATTTATTTCAAAGGGTTAATGAATCTGTCAAAAGCATTGAAATTAAACAGCTTTCACAGCATTTATTTATTTTACCATTTGTTTGAAATTAACAAGCTTTCACAGTATTTATTTATTTTACTATTTGCTTTTGAGGAAAAAACTGTGAGAAGGTCATATGGGGATGTTCTTATCAATCATAAACACTCCGCTCTCGAGTTCAACTTATGGAGAGAAAAGAAACGAAATGGGTGGAAGTGAGAAAAAAGTAAGAGAAATTGGTTCCTCTGAGTTTCGTTAAAAGAAGGAAGTGGAAGAAAATCAAAGGATCACTTTCCCTCCTAACACTACAAAAAAAATATGCAAATTAGTGACGAAAACGAAATGGTCACTAACAATAGAAGGAGTCGTCACTAAATGATTTAGTGACCAAAAATTTGTTTGTCACTTTTCGTCACTATAGGTCCGTCACAAAAACTGATTAGTGACGAAAATATAAAAGTGGTCACTAAATAGTGACTAAAATATACTAGTCACTAAATCTATGACGACCCATTTCGTCACTAAATGTTGTCACTAATGAATGAAAGTCGTCACTGTTTTTCCTAATTAATGACCATAAAAAGTTGTCACTGTCTCATCCAACTAGTGACCATTGAAAGTCGTCAATAGTGTATCCAATTAGTGACCATAGAAAGTCGTCACCGGTTTAACCAATTAGTGACCATAAAAAGTCGTCACTGATTTATCCACCTAGTTGCCATAAAAACTCGTCAAAAGATAAACATAAATTGTTCTAAAATTTGAACAAACCCACAATATACAGTACCGAAATGACTAAAAAGTAACATCATATATTCACATTTAGACAAAGTAAGGATTATACAAAATATTCAAAGAAGATGGATTCAACCTCTTCTTTACCATGAAAATATAAAAAATTTGAATCTCATTGCAAACAAAGAGTCGAAGACAAATAAGAGTAAGATAAGTAGATGTTAAGTTTCATTGCAATCCACGGCCTTTTTCTGCTGCTTTCAAGCATGATATGCCGTCCTTGATCTCTACAATTAAAGTTGATGCTAATTATTAACTATGGACATTATAATGACAATTGACAACAACAATGTTTATAAAATGAAAGAGATTTAAAGAAATGTACTGCTTTTGTATCTTTAATGCGAAGGAGGTCCAACTTTTCTTGTGGTCTTTGATTTGTTAAAGTAGAAGCGAATTGCATCCAGATGGTTATATATCATAAAGTCTACAATTTTGGTTATGATTTTATAAACTAAAAACTCAAAGATTTTGTAATTATTCATACCAAAAAAGTGAGATCCCCTGTTGATGGCATCATAATATATGCTTTATGCAATTTTGCGAGTCTCGTTTGATCTTTCATCAACATATAACAAAACCATAAAGAGTGCAAGAGAAGTAATGAAAAAAGACATCAAAATGTAAAAGAGTTGTAAAAATTACCTCCTTGTGATTTGGCATTTCCAAAGACACTTGCTAATTTTGAAAGATTTCTTGCAATACTTTATGAGGTTGCCATGCCCCATCATTTGAATGAAAAATTTCAAGAATTTATGAATTAATGGGAATTGGGGAAAAAATATCTACCTCCTCTGATATCACAAAAGGCCTTGTGTTGCTCTCTTCAAGATATGCACAAAATATGCAAACTAATATTCATTAATCTATCTATCTATATATATATATATATATATATATATATATATATATATATATATATATATATCAAAAAGACATTATCAAGGAAGAGATTAATGTTTACATGTAGTGTTAGCAGTAGCAAAAAGAAGAGCCCCAAAGAAGCGGGTTGAGGTTGGTGAGTCAAAGATGATGTGTTGACTATTCCTAGTCCAAGTGATGGAGTATAACATGGTGTTGCTTCTGGTTGTTTTAATGGCTGAAAAAACAAAATAACACTTCATTAACAAATAAAATTAATGATAGCAATTAACTTTTAAAACTTAAACTAGTACTTACCGTTTGAAAACCACCTGTTCTAAGCATGGAAATCACTAGCTGATTAACTAGAAAACTCAAAATTATCGAAAAATAATGTAACATTTGTATGATTTGACTGAAGTTTGGTCGAGAATCTGGATCTTCCATCTAACTTGGCCTCACATTCTGAATGATAAAAAGCAAGTAAGTATTATAATTACACCCCTCTTGTTTTACTATTTTACCCTTTAGGAGATAATATAAAATTACTTTTTTACCTTGAAAGCTGCAGAATAAGTAGCTTGGAGGTTGTACATACCCTCAAAGGGTAGTTTGTTGTGTAAAAGTTCCCATGATACAATTACAAAGCTATAAACATCTACTTTCTGGTTGTAATGCTTCTTTTCTCCTTGCCGTCGTGTCCTAATACTATATAATTGTTAGAAAAATAAAAAAGACATTTAAAACCTTTATCTTTGACAAAAAAAAAAGATTAAAGCATACAGTAAAAAATTACTCTGGAGTCTGGAGCCATCCAATGATATGCCCCTATTTTGGCAATCATTATCTCGGTAACTAATTGTATCTTATCTTGCTAATCCAAAATCTACAAGTTTAAGTGTTATTTGATCTTTTGTCAACATTAATTTTTCTGTAGAAAATTAGAAATTAAATTAATTGTAGGATTTAATAGATATCATTAGCCATGGGGGTATGTTTAGTTACATGGAATGGAATGACCATGGTAATGGAATGATTCATTACATTCCATGATCACGTTTGGTTGGAATTGAATTCCATGAGTTTCTGCAAGGAAAGTTGAATTTCAGTTTACAAGTGCGGGAGATTGGAATTGAATTCCATGACTTTATATAAGGAAAGTTGAATTTTGTCGCTTGTAGGATTTAGTGGAATTCAACTCATTAATCATTTGCAACCAAATGTCGGAATGGAATGGAGCTGAATTCCAATTCAGGTATACTACTAATGCATAAAAAAACAAAAATAATAGAAAATCTTACCTCTTGAAGCTTTGGATTTATATCAATCATCTTTTGATCCAATTCTTTCGATCTAGTTTCCAAATCCTCCCTTAACCTGAGTTTGAGATTCAATTCCAACCATAGTTTCTCCACCTATAATAAGGAATAAACACCTATAAACTACAACAGAATGCAAATCATGACATAATTTGATAAAAATTAATTCATTGCATACATACCTGCTTCTCCAACTCCTGGGAATGTGTGTGGGCTTTTTGATTCTGCTCCTTAGCATCTGAAGATCCTTTAACGTCATCAAACACAAGAACGTAATAGATTTTATCATTTTGAAAGCATGTATTCATGGATGAAACAAAATGTGTATCAAAACCACAAGTACTATATTTTTAACAAGAAGAAAAGAGCAACTTTCATTCTTCATCTAATCTCAAGACAAGATAGAAGCTATAAGATGGAGATTAATGAGAAGAGAAAGAAATTTGAAAAATGATTGTATTCCTTTTCACGTAATTGACAACTATACTCGAATCAAAACATAAAATGTGGAGAAATCAGCACACAATTTCATCAGAACATCACGATTTTAAGAAATCAACAAACAATTTCATATCAACGATTTCATTCTTGATTTCCGAGAAATCGCCAATTTCATCAGATTTGGAGCATCGATTTCAGCAAAAATAAAGAGAAATCAGGAAAAACTGAAGAACGGACTAGATACCTGAAGATGAGTCAGAGTTCTGCTGTGCGATGGTGGTGTCGGAGGCGTGGGAGGGTGGGACAGCCGGAGATGTAGGAGGCGACGGATGGAGCTGCGAATTTGGAAAGGAACGATGTGGAGGAGAGTCAACTGTTAGGCGAGAGAGAAGACGATCACGTTTAGGTTAATGATAGAAAATCAAACTTTTAGTTACTATTTGGTATAATGGAATCAGGGAGTCGATTGATTAGCTACTATGCGACATGTGAGCAATAGATGTAGATACATCGATGGTCGGAGCGGAGAAAAGAGTACCTGTTTGACATCGAGTGGAGAACAGAGGTGCGTCGATGGGAGGGTGTGGAGCGACGATAGACCGACGACATTGGTGCCGAACTGCCAATTGTTGGTATGTCGAATTAGGGCAAACTATGAGGAGAGATGTGTTGACGAGAGGCGGGATGACTTTTCACTCTAGAGTTTGAACATTACGATGAAAAAATCATCTCAACGCTTTCCTCCATATATTATAATAATGGAAAATAGAAAAAGGAAAAATAATTTCTTTATTTATGAAACACCACAAAAAAAAGGTCCAAAAATGATTTTAGGTCGCGTATATGTGAGAAGGGTAGTATACTAAATATGCTTAATAAAAGGGTTTTGGTTAGCTATGGATAGTGCTCAGGAACTTAGATAAGGACTAGTCAAATGTAATGAGCTTTTGGAAAATTATGTATGAAAGAAAACAAAAGCTCTAGTGACTATTATTTTGTGGTCACTAATAGTTTTTCATTTTGTAATTCGGTGACCACTATTGCGTGGTCAAATTTTATCTGCATAACTTTTAAGTCGAATAACAAAGAGTAGCTAGTG